GTGTGTATCTTAAAAGACACCAAAAACAAGCAAACAAAAAAACAACAAAACCCAATGAACTAAACAGACTTTTCTCAAAAGAAGAAATGTCAATGGACAATATATGCATGAAAAAGTATTCAATACCCTTGGCAATCAGGGAAAGACAAATCAAAACTACACTCAGATTTTATCTTACTCCAATTAGAATGGAAGTCATCAAAATTATAAATAACAAATGCTGGCAAGAATGTAGGGGAAAAGGTACACTTATACATTGTTGGTAGGACTGCAAATAAGTATAACCACTTTGGAAAGCAGTATGAGGAATCTTCAAGAAATGGAACCACTATATGACCCAGCTATCCCACTCCTTGGTATTTATCCTAAAGAAGTAAAATCAGCATACCATAGTGATACTGTCACATTGATGTTTATAGCAGCACAATTCACAATAGCTAAGTGGTGGAACCAGCCTGTTGATGATTGGGTAAAGAAAATGTGATACACACACACACACACACACACACACACGTTTTACTTAGTCATAAAGAAGAATGAAATTATGTTATTTGCTGGTAAATGGATGAAACATTATGTTGAGTGAAAAAAATCCAGGCACAGAAAGTCAAAGGTCAAATGTTTTCTTTTCTGTGTGGAAGCTACAGAGTAATAGGAATTAAAAAGGGGGGTGGATCTCATGAAAATAGAAGGGAGAACAGTGGAGTAGAGGAAGGGTAACAAGAGAGGAAGGAAGGATGGAAAAGGGAAGGAACAGCAGAAGGAAATTAAACAAACTATCATGTGCACACATGTATGAATATATAACAGTGAATTCCACATTTATGTACAATTCTAATGCACCAATTAAAAAATAAACCAATAAAGAAGATATCGTTCTTAGGATCTTATATATTTAGGGACGTGTTTTATATATCTAGGAAAAACTTTGAGACCACTTATAAAGCAAAATACAATGGAGATAAATTAGCATCAACTTAGTATATGTTAAAAATAAAGAGACATGAATGAAAGAGTTATCCAGAATGGAGTGCTGAGAAGATTGGAAAAGGGACTTTCCAGATGGATGGCCAACACTGCCACTCAATGTATGGAGGGTCATGGCAACAGGAAGAAATGCAGATGGAGGCTCAGACAGCATCCAGGGCCAGGAAAGGATCAGGATGAACCCAGGCACCAGAAAGTTCTTGGAAGATCTCAGGCAGAGGGGTGACAGGGTGACAGCTGATTGTGGATGCTCTTTTATAGGTGAATGGTATAACGATGAAATATTACCTGCAATGAATTTCTCTTTAATTTTTGATGTTTGCAGTTTTTTTCAGATTAAAAAAAGTAAAAGAAGCAAATTATTTTTAAAACCTCCAAGTGTTTTTTTAATATCTAGAAGCACGTGATGTAGACAATTGAATATTTCATAGTCCCACCTGTGAAGATCATCACAATTCGCAGGATGTTGCTTAGCATTAAATTTAAAGAGAATCATTTGGAACTTTTAAATTATAAAGATAAATATTTTCTATTTTCCTAATTTTCTTGTGGTTTATATTATATTATAAAGTAAGATTTATTTACTATCAAAAAGGGGCTTTGTGGTTATTTTTTTTCCCTTTGACTTTCAGAATGTGATTCCATTAAAGAGTTCTGGTCTGTATGAAATAGTGCACTGAACTCTTTGCTCATGTGTGTCCTGCTTGGTGGAACCACATGCCTGGAACCTAGAAATCCATACAGTCTAGAGACTGTCAAAGGTATAACTTCTATTGATAGTTGAAAAAGCCCATTTGGAGGCATAAGTCAATAAGGACAGGTCATAGATAAAACTAGCTCCCACAGTTTGTGTTCAATATCACCTTGATGTAGCTACTTGATTCTGAATTCTAAAATGTATTTTGCTGGGTGTGGATAAGAAAGTTATTCCAAATCTCTATATCCCTGAAAGAGGTAAAACAAACAACCCACTTCAAAAAACAAACAAACAAACAAAAATAGATACTGCACATTGATATGTGAGATTAACAATCCAGGAGAAATACTAACATGTCCATCTCTTATTGGTTTCATGGATCTAAGGATCAGAAATAGTCAGGTATAATTTCTTCTAATAATTTTCAGGGGTCAAGGTAAATCAAATTACCTCTTGAACTGAGCTTGTTTATGTCAAAGGAAAGTAAATTCAATCCAGGACTTTGAAATTATAGATGGAGAATGATATAAGAAACACACAGTGAAAATCTTGGAGGAAATTGTGAGATTCATTCATTATCTCCCTTACCACCCACCACAAGTTCAAGGTGAAAAAAATATTATGATAGAAGATTTGAAATCTGGAGGGATGACTGGTCACTGATTTGGGCTTCTGAAGGAACTTAAGATTCCTCATGAGAACTAGGAATTCAAGGTTGAGCAGAACTTGAACCTAGGAGTGGTAATGGAAGGGAGAAGTAGAAGAGCACTTGGGAGGTAATCAAAAATGGGAGTTCATAACCCACTTGAATCTAATGTATGAAATATGATATGTCAAGAGCTTTGTAATGTTTTGAACAACCAATAAAAAATAAATAAATAAATAAATTCAAGTATCAATACCAAAAAAAAAAAAAATAATAAAATAAAATAAAGGAGGAAGTGGCAAGAGCAAACTACGTCCTCATAGTCTTCACCAGATGACCAGGAATGCAGGGACAGTCCTCAAGGATTTAGATTAGACAAAGAAGAGAGAGTTCGATGGTGGGTGGGTTTTAAAGGGCAACTGTAGAGTAGGTTTCCCTGGGAAGTTTCAAAGGTAAAATAGAATCTCATCTAGTTTAGTCCTGGCTGAGAGTAGAGAGAACAAGCTAGAAAGTGAAAATAATATCTTCCTTGTATAGGGTTTCACAGCTTTTAAGATTGACATTTTTAAAGCTGACATGAGCTCACTGTACCCTCACTAGAATGCTGAGAGGTAGCCAGGGCCAGAATGACTTCATTGGTGAGGAAATGGAAAGACAAAGGTTTCAGGTCCAGTGGGGAGGACAGAGGTAGAGGAAGGAAGGCAGACCTCAGCAGGTTTTGAAGTTTAGAGGGAAATGAATTTTTTTTTTTCGTTTTGAAGCAACGTTTGTTCCTTTCCAGGTACTCTTGATTACTCACTGTTAAGTAGGCGGAAGTCAATGAATGGGTAGGAGCCACGGCGTTCAGCAGGAACCCCCGTCTGACCCCTTAGTCGTACATCTCCTAGAAAACAGAAAATCCAAACAAAGGTTTGAAGATGTTGCCAAGTGTGTTCACTTCTCTGCAAATCCTCTTAACCGATTATGTCAACGGAACCAACACCAGATGTCAGGAGAAGAATGATTCCCTTCCAGCGTATTTAAGAGAGTGATAGGTGGGAAGGGGTGTATAATTAATGCTGAGTATAATGAGCTTGGCAAAACTCTAATGAATGAACCACTGCTCTCTTATGTTTGCCTGGTCTGTGAAAATTAGAGCAACTTTTAAGGTTTCCTAAGTGTTTTTGTACTTTTCAGGGCCATAAAGATGAGGCAATCTGAACCTGGAAGGACAAATGGTGTGTTGGTATCATAGCTTTCCTTCTTAGCAGTGTCATTTCTCTTGGTCCCAGCACAATTGCTTTCTGACTGGTGATTATCCTCCTTTTCCCTAGGTTGTATCATAGATTTGCATTAGAAGCTAATTAGCTCCAGGTGCTTTAGACTGTTAACCACCCTTGCACCTATGATAATCTGTAGAGTTTCTAGTATGCATTTATTTGTAGGCTTCTTTTAATGGGTGTATTCTTTTCCCTTTCTGATGTGTGTGTGTGTGTGTGTGTGTGTGTGTGTGTGTGTTCTGCCTTCCCCAAAGGTGGTAAAATAGCACAGAGGATGCATGAGTTTCAGAATAAGGAGGACCTTGGAGACGCCTGGCTCAGACAGTTGCTACCTGGCAATCTTGAGGAATTTATTTCTCTTAGCCACAGTTGCCTCATTTATAAAGTGAAAATGACTTGCTTCAATGTGCCATCATCAGTGTCTAAAATAACATTTGCTGCCTAGCAATAAATGCTGTTTCCTTCCTTCTAAACTCCTGCAAAGCAGGGATCCCTGCATATGATGTGATCTGCATTTCTCCATAGCACTTTGTGTGCTATCTGGAACGTGGTGGACCAAACAAATGTCCTTTGTTGACAAGAGTGAAAAAAAACAGGTTTTCCAGTTATTACATTTCTTGCAGAATCTGTGGAGAGGGAGAAATACACGAAAACAATATATTTCTGGAATAACTGAATCATGGAGGGTTTCAATTCTAGGAGTATCAATTTTGGGAGCAACGGAGCACCATCTATAAGCCACTTCTCCTCCAGACCTGAAGCATCACTCAGGCCTCAGCCTGGGAGCAGAGAGGAGGGACAATCTTCTCTCCTCCCATCCTAATTCCAAGTCTGTTAACGAGACTTGGGTGAGATCCCCATCCACTGCAACCCTGCCACTGATGCTGCTTTAAATGTCCCTCACAGACGGGTCTCAAGTGTACTCAGGATTACTGAGTACTTAATAGCAAATACTCAGTGCAAGCCATGAGCTCTTGAGATATTCTCTGCTTTGAATTTTATATTTGTCCTTATTTATTATGCTTTGTAAAATCTGATATTTTACAGCCATATAGGTACTAAAGGATGCTACAATATATGGAACAAAAAGAGAGAAATCGATTTAAAAAAGATAAAAGAGATAAAATGGGAGGAGAAATGAAGGGATAGAAAAGTACATTTAAAAATATGAATATAATTGGAAACTGAAGAAGGAAATGCTGTTAGTTTTTGATAAGTCTTTAGATGGTCAACAGTTGAAGGAAGCCACTCAGAGGAGTTGAAGGTTTCTCAGTGTCCTGGTAGGTGTCTCTAATACCCTATGTTTATAATGCTCTAGCATTTCAAAAATATTCAAAAATTATCACAGTGAATTTTTTGTTTTGTTTCTCTCACTAGATGCTCATCCTGTGAAGGGAGCTACTACTCTTCTCCTTATTTTATAAGTGAAAAAATAGTGGCTGAGGGAAGAACAACTGCATAGACCTGGATTCACTCTGCATTCACTGAGGGCTCAGCTCCCTCAAAGGTACTCAGAACAAGTCTGCTAACTTTCCTTGAACTTCCTGAGTTGATGCTTTTTATGCTTATAATGAGCAGAGCTGGAGTTAAATCTAGGTTCTTAGACTTCACAGGCAGTGATCTCTCCTCAATACCATTGGTTTCTAACCTTACGAAGTGTGTAAAGCTGATTTTTTAAAATGAAACAAAAACAGCAAAACATAACCTTGTGCTTGTACTTGCTATTGTAGAAGTTGTCCTTTTAGTTTCCACTAAGAAAATATAGCTTATTAAAATGACATAACAATCCAGTGCTGACTATAAATGAATTTCTATTTTATGGTGATGGTAAGATAGACATACATTAAAAAAAAAATAGAGAGGAGACTGTAGGCATTTGGTCTCTGAAGCTGGCTGGGTTTGGGGATTTTTTGACCTGTTGCTACATTCCCTTGGGACTCTTCCAGGGGTTTCAAGTTTGCCATTTGGAATTTACTTCTCTATTAGTATTTTCACCTCAGTATCACCAAAGAGTTGCCCTGGACTTTGTAGTTATAAGGGTACCATTTTCCCAGAGACCATCTGTGTAATATTGACATAGGTTAATAAGCCTTTCACAGGATTTATTCCTGTTGTCCACCTGGGGCTGTGAGGCAGACAGGCCTATCCTCTTGTAAGACTTCGGATTTAAGGAAACTAGACAGAGACAGAACTACAGGGCAGAATGGGTGATGGGAGAGTGATACACTAGGAATGAAGGGACTCTTATATTAACAGGTCAGCATTTTGCCACATTGGGTGACCTTGGACAAATAAATCAATAGCCATTTTAAGGTTCAATTTTCCAATATTTAAATTATAATTATAGCAATTTTGCCTACCTTACATGTTGTTGTGAGGAAATTATAAGGAGTGTGAGACAAAAGTATTAATGTTATATTGAATCCTTCCACCGTGCTGAGCATTTAAATTTTACATGCATTGTCTCATTGTCAACCCAACAATACAAAATATGTGTTATTATGATTTTATAGTTGAGGAAACTAAAGCCACTGGAAATTTGATAATTTGTTCAAATCTGTAGAGTGAGAGCTTGTGCTTGAACTCAAAGCTAACCCCCAACTGTATTCTTAACCTTTTCCCAAAATTATCAGCTATAATTCTGTAGGAGAATTGCATACATAGTTAAGCATTAACCTTTTCTCCCCCAGTGAATGCTCTGGTAGCTATTTTCAAGAAAACCAAACACATAGTCCTCAGGGTTCCCCAAAACTGAACAGCAGGGGCATCTGTTACCTGGATGAATTCAAGATTTCAATTAAGAAATGGAAAGAAATTATTAAAAATATTATTCAGCAGAACTGTAATTACCTGGCAATTACTTTACTCAAATTCTCATTTAAGCAGAATTTTTATGATACACTCCATTTTTTTTGGAAAAAGAGATAAATAACTACAAAGTAAGTTGATAGCAAAAAATACCTAAAGCAACAAATAAGCAAAACAAACAAATCAACAGTAACAACAACAAATAACAAAATCATACCTGGAAGATTCAGTTTCACTGCTTATACTGTCTGTAACTACATTTATGGTCTTAGAAGTGGATTCCTCATAAGCCTCATGATATCCCTTAATGGTAGTAAATATTTGTTTTCAAAAAAGATTAAATCATGCTAAATATACTAGTAAGGTAGGAAGCAGGACAATTGCAAGTGGGCTACAATGCCTTTTAGAGATTGTTTTACCCTTAAAAATGTTAAATACAAACATCCCACGTCTGGGCTATTCCATTTAATCAAAGTTCTAATGCAGTAAGACGAATGTATTAAGCATATATTTCTAATATAGAAGGTTCTCTTTCCCTCTTCCTGCTTCCATGAGCCCCTTCTGATGCTAAATTGCTTCAATATGCTGGTGGAAAGAGAGAAATAACTCAGTAATAACAGTCTCTGGAGGAGCAGAGGCCACTGGGCTGTTGTCCGAAGGACAGAACAAGTGTGTCCTGCTGAGCTGCTTTTCCTGGCCCCTGGTCGCCGGCAATCATCTATTTACCTAAGTCCTTATATCCAAGCTAAACAATTATTTTGACTATTCATTAAGCCCTTGTTTAACTTCAGCAGCTTTTTTTTTTTTTTTTTTTTCCTGGCAAAGGAAGGTGCCGTGGAAGCCGGGGAGGAAGCGTTGACAGCTCAGAGTCATGTCCTCAGTCTGTTCTTATTGTGTTCCAAAAGGAAACAAACAGCAAGGGAATTCTTATTTTGAAAGGGCTGCTGCTCTTTTGCTTCTTTACTCTGAAAACATAACATGTCGTCCTTGATACTGAAGGCTGCAAACATAGGCAGAGAGCTGAGCTGAGTTCCTCTGGGAGCCAAGACTGGGAGACAGCCCCTCACCCTCCCAGGGGACGTGGCTCCGGATGGACCTCTTGCCCACTTGGCCTCTTGCGCGGTGTCTGTTTAATAAAAGCTTGTGCTACGGAGCAGACGTTTCTGTGGCCTCTTATGTAACTGGCAAAGAGGGTGGAGACTCTGACGGTGATGACAACTTACAGTGGCTGAAACATAGGCCATATGACAAGAACCAGACTCCAGCCCCAGTCGTGGGGGTGTCAAGGTCACTTCAGGGTGGGGAGAAGGCCTAAGAGAGGGACAGAGAAGTAGCTACTGTGCTCCTATTGCATCTGAGAAGAATGAGGAAGACGATGAAGAAACAGGTTGCAGGAATTCACAGCAGGGGCATCATTAATGAATAAGGAAGCTTCTCTGAAATTGTGGAGCATATACTAAATACGGCGGGGAAGCAGAAGTTCTGGTGAAAAGTATTCCTTTGAGCTTCTGAACACATTACTAGCTCATGTCACCCCTACCTCTTGCAAAATGAAGATATAGAGGACCTGATCCCCAAATCTTAGACCTGAACTTTAACCACACTGCACTGCCTTGGCTATGGATTTTGTTTCAGATGACTACTCTCAGAATTAGTTAAGAGCACAATTTTTCTTAGGATGTTTATCTAGCCTAACAAAGGTGGGGGGGGGGGAGGTTATGCAATTTCATCACTCCATAGATTCATGGGATAGTACAAGCAGCCATTTGAGAACTCAGGCTGAGATTATTATTGTCGTAAGTACCGTGGCCTTACA